CTGTATAATAATCTGTATTGACCATAATAGTATTACCTACAAAGGAATGGAGGTACGGGAGAGGGTGGCAAGCTATATATATATATATATATATATATATATATATATAAAAATGAAAAAAAGCACAATTAGTAAAAAACATGGAGATATGAAAATTCAGGAAAGGATAGAGAAATTTAAGATTTGTGAATGAAGAGGAATTGTCAACCAACAATTTTATTATAGTAATTAGAAAGTAAGGGATGCTCAATAGAGAGAGAAAAGGGAGAGAAAGGGTGATTTGTATGCCACTGAATAAAAGCTTATAAAAGCAGCAATAAACATGGAGAAAAAATTGATTAATGACTTATCTCTAAATTATTTACTTTTGGCTTTAAAAGCCTGCAAAAGCACCTTTCAATGTTGGATGAATAAAGATTTTTGTTGTTTTATTCCTGTGTCTGTATCTTAAAATGAGCATTTACACATTTTATTATTGTATGCTAGCAGATGCAGTTTTTACAGATAAACTGATAGAAAAGTTGATTTACACTGATCAAAATATAACATTTAAGAGATGTAATGGATTAGCAAGCCAAAGTTAAAAAATAATTAAATTAAAATCAATAGTTTACAAACCTCTTTAAATTGGTTTGGAGAAAGTCAAATTTTTACCAGAAATAGAAATATCAACTTACATTTAGTGTAATTATTAAATGGAGAACATCTTGTGTGTGCTTTCTTTTATTAAAACTATTTAAAGCAATTAAGTAATTAAATTGTACATGTAATAAGTTAAAAAAATCATAAAGATTAAACCAAAAAAGAAAAAGTGATTTGAAGAGAAACTCAAGATGAAAATTTAAAGTTTATATGTTGCCAAAGAAATATGACATGAACTGGCACTTCTGCTTAAGATCAGAGTGTAGTATCTGATAGCTATGACAAATAATGCACTTATATATATATATGTGTGTGTGTGTGTGTGTGTGTGTCATCCACAGACAGACTGTTTCTCTGTATCATAGCTCATCAGTGTGTCTCGACATCCAAATGTCTCAAGCTAGGATCAAAACCCAACTGATTTGGCATCAGTTGGAGATTTATCCCTTAAGCTATCTGCCGCCGGCAGAGAGGAAGGTGAATTTTTATGTATTTATTTTTTAATAAATATGCCAGTGACTCAGAGAGCTCAAATCATAGAAGAGCTCTGCATTACCAGCAGTAGCAATCACTGTTTACAAATTCATGCTATATAAAGTTGTATGGATATAAGTTTGTGACCATGGGTTTCATGCTTTTGCAATCAGACAGATTGGTTTATTTTTTAAAATTGGATCTATTTATGCTTGTTTGACTAGGTTTGGTAGCAAATCTACTTATGTGTTTGTTTGGTGTGACACTATCATATGCATAGAGACATACATACACGTGTATGCATTTTAATTAACACCAACACATCCATATAAGCAATTGGACGCAGGTGCAGATACATATCTATGCATATATACATACACACACAATTGTTATTCTATTTTGGTATCAGGAACTTAGCTTTTTATGTGTAGTGATGTCTGTTTCAACAAGGAGCGGGTAGGGGTGTTCTTGACACTTTTCAGTTCTATCACATGGGCTGTCAGAGAAACTTGTACCTCACACACACACGTAGATGTGCACATACATTATTATTGGTCTGGGCCGTTTCACCACCACTTTGGTTAAGCAGTTTTCTGTTTGTGGTCATGGTGGTAATGATGTTTGTATTATCAATGCCAACTGCTTGTGTGTTGTTGACAGTTGTGATCATGCTGGTAGTGATAATAGCTGTGATATTAATTATCATTGAAAATGTTAATAGATATTGATGTGTTAATGGTAAAATTTAATGACAGAATTAAAAAGGGTGGAGGACAATAATGACAAGTAGCTATGATAATAATTGTGGTAACCATGATGAATATATATATATATATATATATATATATATATATATATATATATATATATCTCATTTCACCCCAACCAAGGCAATAAAGCCACTAGGACACAAGAGGTTACTAAGTGTTATAGAATATGCGAAAAACTACTATTAAGGAGAGTGAACAATAAAAGAACAAGAATTAAGAGAGAAAATAATGATTAACATTGCATTTAAATTTTTGAAGATCAACACTGACTAGGAAGCAAGAAGCTAGAAGAGTTCCACAAGCAAGAAGTGCAATAGAAGAAACTTTAGCACAGAACTTAGTTACATCTAGCTGTTTCAACTGTAAAATGAGATTTTGATGCCACTCTAGTACTGTGTCTAAATTCATAGAGTCTAGGTACCATAGAGGAAAGTTTATCAGAAAAATTACCATGAAAGTATTTAAAGAAAAGACACAGGGAAGCTACATCATTACTGTGGTGGGAAAGAGACTGAAGCATAGATGCCAGATGACATTGCAGATTGTTTGGATTTTATCAAAAAGATCTAAATATATAGCAGGAGCATATGAGGGAATACTGAAGAGGATCACTCCAAAGACCCTTCAAGCATTTGTGTATATCGATGTTCATAAATTATTTTATATAAATGAAATTCTTTGGCAAATTCTTAATTGGATGTTGATTGATAAAACTAATTTGTCATTTAAAAATTTTAATATGGATGACACATCATCATGATAAATCAAAGACTAGTATATTAAAAATTTGCTAATTCTGTTTTTAAAACACCATTTCATTTGGAGCAATGTTCAATTCCTTTTGGATATCCTAAAATCTACTTTTGAATATAGCCACTAACTGATATTTTGGGATAAAAAAAAATTATAAAGTTAATAAAAACAACAAACTAATGAATAGCAATTTCAAAATAAGCTTGTAAGTAGACAGAAAATAAGTTGGCAAAAATTTGCAATAAAAAGCAACATTTGCGAGGAAAAGAGAGAGGAAATTAATAGAAGACTGAAAATTTAGTAAATTAATGTAAGAAACAATGTTGAGAGTATAGACGTACAAAGAAAACTCAAAATTATTATAAATAAATAGAAAAGGATGTAACATCAGCAACTTGCTTGGGATCTGACAGTATTTGATCATAAATATAACCATATATCAATCATAAATATGGCTATTTAATCAATTCAACTAATGATCAGAAGCTAAAAACAACCTGACCGCAACCTCTGGTCAATTTTATTTGTTTACACATTGTGTACATGTAACAATGATGAAAAAATCATTCTTTAAACTATTTGCTTTCAAGCCATTTCTGTTAGTATTGGATATAGTAACTATTCTTAATCCTTTTAAGGCAATTATAAAATTGCAAATTGAAATATGGTGTAAATATAGAAATAAAACCAAAAGTTAGCATATCACAAATACTGCATTTGTGATGCTCTGGAAGCCTCAACAACTCAGGCTGAACAATAAAACACTGATTCTAAGTCACAGAATATAATCTGATTGCAGGTAAATATGAGGTGATAATTGTATAACCACATACTTGGCAAAAGATAATAGTAAGGAACATCTCATTTTGTACTTTGTTTAATCCTTAAACTTTGCAAACCCAATAATATTGTGGTGAATAAACAACAAAAATGTAACCATCCAGCATTCTACAGCTATAAAATTAGCAACTTAAGAATTATGCTGATATAAAAAAAAAATAAAATTCAAACTGAGCTTCTTTATTCAATCAACTGGGGTGGATTGTTTTTCTTCTACTGCCCATGTCTATGGATATTCCATCTATTTCTTATTTTATTACAGTTCAATTTTTGGTCACCCCCATTTCACACTGCCTGATACAGGGATTGAACTAGCAATTACTATGTCACCAAACCAACACTTTAAGCCACTAGGCTATTGTCCTTATATATGAGCAGTGGAATCTACCTTCATAGATTAAGTAAAGGGTTCAGTATGAAATTCCCTGTAGGTTACCCAGATCTTCATGTCTGACAAAAGCCAAAGGGCACAATGGCCGAAACATTGTGATAATGACAAAGATGAAGACAATAGTCCACATGTAAATAATGATAATTTCTCATCCCAGAAATTAAGATGAATATTAAAGAATAATTTTTTGAAAACTAGAAGTGGTGTCTCAATAAAATTATGATGGAAAATGCAACAAGAAACTGCTCCACTATCAATCTAAAGAACATTCATGACTCAGTAATATTTTTTACTACACACGTTTAAATCTTATATACTAAGTGTCACTCAATCGGTATTCTAAGTCAACTTTATGTTCAGTAATATATATGAGGGGGTGCTGAAAACTTTGGTCCACTTTCCAAATTCTGAAAAAAAAAAAAAAAAAAAAAAAAAAATGACCAAACATCAAATTTTTATTTTGGAAGAGATTCTTTGTTGGGCATAGAATGTTTCAGCATCCCCTTATAGATATGATGTAATGTCTTGCATTATCTTCTTTGTAGAACAATTTCTTTTGTTATATTTTAAACTAGGACACATTTTTGTTTGTTTATAAAAACAAATTACAGAAAAATAATTTTATTTAAATACTTAATGAATTTGTTTACTCAAACATGAATAAGTAAAAATGACAAAACTAATTTGTTAGCAAATTTAATTGAAAATAAAGCAGTTAAACAGTTATTTAAAAAACTGACAAATCACAAAGTCAGAAGTTCAAAGTTATTTCTAACTGTTAAAATTGTTTTCTGAAAATATTTCGTTCAAAGTAACAACTGATGAAAAAAATGTCAGAATAGTTAATTTGAATTTTAGCTCAGCAAAAGTATTTTTACAAACTCAAAAGAAATTTATAGGGGAAATTATTTTTAAGAAAGTAAATGAATAGAAATTTATCAAATTTTTTTTTAAGTTCATGTGTGTGCACATTTTCTTGCATTTTTTTTTTTCCATGATCAATCTTGGATAATTTTGTAATATACATTTTTTCTTTCAAAGTGTAGGGGAGGATATTTTGGGGGTGAGGAATGCTAGGTTCTCATGTTTTACCAGTCAGCCAATTTTTTTCCTCCACAGACAATAGGAAGCTACGCCTGAAAGGAAACAAGGGAAAAAAAAAGGCAGTAAGAAAATTTAATGTCACTCAGCAGAAAAGGAGGAATGGCTGGCTTGCCAGGTGAATGTTGATATTTTGTTATAACTGATCATACATAAACAAATTTGTAATTTAGAAAAAATGTTCTCAGAACAGGCAGCAGTTGGTTGAATGAATGAATGAATGAATGAATTAGTGAGAGAATAAAGATGGGTTAAAGGTGAAAATAAATTTTAAAATATCCTACTAAAATAATTTGCCTATCATCAAAAAGAAAAGTGGATGATAAAAATACAAAAAATAAATGCTAGCAGTCAAGAGAGATAAATATAAACAAAAGATGAGAAAAGAGTTTAAGCTTGGGGTGGTCACAGATTAGAAAAAAACATTGTGTCTCATAACAGAAGAAAAACAAAAGGTAAATACCTGCCCCCACCATGCTCTCTACTAAAACTGCAGTAAAAAGATGGCAAGTGGTATAAAGAATTATATTTACAACATAAAACAAAAAGAAAAGATAAATTTTAGAAAGCTAATTATTTCTTTGCACTATTCAATAAAAAAAAAAAAAAAAAAGAAAAAAAAAAAGAAAAAGTCAATTGTTGACCCACTGAATTGTAAATACTGTATTTGCAAGCCTAGAAGATACACAATAACTTGCAACAATTTATTTTGGTCTGCTAATTGTACAGCTTGAGTTTCTGGTTATAAGACAACATATACAGTTAAATATAAAATGCTACTTAGCATAAAAATTCTAAACAAAGGTCAAAAACATTAATTTTTCAAATGGAAAATATATTGTAAGAAAGCATGTCAAAATTACAGACAAAAATAAATCATAATGAAACAAAGTAAAGTTAATTTTTAAGATATTTTTATGTTAATGTTATGAATTACAAAGATATCTAATTTCTGTTTGAATTTCCCAAAAGTTATTTACATTTGGACAAATGTCCTCATCATTTTTGTTATCAGGTTTTGATTGGTTTGCCTTCAAACCTTCTTCAGGTTTATGTAAATATTATAAATAAAGATATCTTTAATTCTCAATTAAATTAAAATCCTAAAGAAAGTATTTGAAATAAATTTGTGATTGTTTTAGCTGTACAAAACAAAGTTAATCTGTTTCAGTACTAAAAATAAGTGGATAATATTTAGGCAGTATATCTTCATTCAAACAGGTTTCGTTGAATATAGACATATGTCTATTTATTTTTATAATAATCCTTTTTAGTTCTCTAACCAGTTTCTTGATGTTAAAATGAAATTCATCAATTTTCTTACCCAAGACCTTATATACTTCAGGTTGTGCTGAATTAGGTTGGTTAATTTTTATGAGATGTCAACCCTTGTTGGGTTATTTAACACCAAATTTTGTATAGGACATCTGGTGAGGATCAAATTCACTACTTGGTTGTAATGGTCAACCAGACTAGCCTTGTTAACCATTGTGTTATGTTGAAGTGCTAATACCAGTATGAATATAGCTTAAGAAACCTGATGTTAAAATAAAGTTCTATGTAACTGCTTATTTCTGGCAAATGATTTATTTAGGATTGTGTATGTATACACTAACACAAAAACAAATTAAGTATAAATGGTTGCATTCTATGAACTGTATTTTTCTACATAATGCAAGTACAGGCCAGTGCCATTAAGCCAATAAACCATGAAGGACCCCAAAATTTATTATGTTCATATTAGAATCATAATCAGTGGATCCCAATTTGAAACAAATTCAAACTTGATTGTAACACTTTTTAAAGCCCGATTTTTTCTGTATAATCTTTTATTTTAATAAATTCATTAAATTGAGTTTTAATACCTTCAGTATACCCACATTTTCCCAGGCATTTACTATTGTTTAGGCTTTGGCATTTCACACACAATTGTGTAGTGGTTTGGATTAGCACTTTGGACATTTTAAGCGTGAAATATGCAGCTTACAACCTTTATCCTAACTTAAAAATTTCGCATATTTACTCAATGGGATTTGCTTTAATATTGATAATGTGCTTTTCCAAATAAAATAGCAAAGTCTCTAAAGAGATGGGTGTATTAGAATCTACATTGAGAGATTGGATCAAAAATGAAGAAAAGCTACAAAGTATTTTAGATGAGCTAGACAAAGGAGGTTTGAAGAGGAAAAGGGCCAGAACTGCCAGGGATCCTGATCTTGACAAGGCAACATTTAAATGCTCTGTGAAGCTAGAAATAACGGGATACCCATGTCAGGATCATTATACACGCTCAGGCTGAGAAAATACATTAACAACTTCATGGTGAAAATGCAGATCGTGAATTCAGTGTATCTAGTGGATGGTTAAGAAGGTGGGAGCAGCATCATAGCATAAGCAAAGTAAGTTCAGCAGATACAACACAAGCTGAGTTGTTTATACCAAGGTTTCAAAATTTTGTGCAAGAGCAGCAACTACATCCAGAGATGATATATAATGCAGATGAGACAACCCTTTATTATCGTATCCTACCAGAGAAAACCCTTGAAATAAAGAATGACAAGGCGAGTGGAGAAGGCTTCAAGAGTATGAAAGAAAGACTGATGCTCCTTTTCTGCTACAACATGGCAGGAAGCCACAAGTTAAAGCCCCTCTGCATCAGTAAGTTTCAATCTCTAAGATGTTTTCATCATGTGAATTTGAAGCAGTTACCAGTACTCTACAACAACAAAAACACCTGGATGAAATCAGTCATTTTTGAAGATTGGTTTAAATAAGACTTTGTTCCAGCAATCTGCCAACATCTGAGAAGTTTGGGGTTAGAAGAGCAAGTCTGCCTGCTGTTAGATAACTGCCCAGCGTACCTACCTACTGAGAGCCTGAGATCCAGAGATGGGAAGTTCTTTGTTTACTATCTGTCAAAGAATACAACATCAAAGATAGAGCCACTTGACCAGTGGATCATCTCCACATTCAAATCCAACTATAAACATGAGTTGATAAAGGCACTGGTAGTAGAAGAAACCACAGTCCCAGAGTATCTGAAGAACCCGAACATTAAAGTCAACAGACGAGCTTGTAGAATGTCTGGAATTTTATGAGTGTTGTGATTCACTAAAATTCACTAAACTACAGACTATGCTCAAAGATGCCAAGAAAAGAGAAAACAACAAGAAGCAACTCTCCATTACTGACTTTCTTAAATAAAGTGTTATTATGAACATTATTTTTATTTTCCATTATGGACATGTAAATTTATTAAAAATGTTATTTTGCATTAATTTTGTAAAATTTGTATTGTATTATTACATTGCATAGAAATCTGTGCTTGTATGTAAATGTTACTACATTGTATTATTTCTTGTTAAAATGTTAAAATCTCATGTGTACAAGATTTTTGCCATCTTTTGCTGTCATTGATGATGGCTCTACTGACATGGTACTTTATAAGTGAAATCATTTTAGGCCATCATCTTTCAAATTTATTCACATTGGTGCAGATTTTTATGTGAAATTAAAGGATAGTTTTAATAAATGTTTTTCAAAACTGCCAATATTCAGCTCTTAGTGTTGAATACACATTTTGCATGTTGAGCCACTGTGTTACCTATTTTCACAGATAACTCCATGAACTTGACAAGCTTTGTTTTGGTGGTCTAAGCTGGCAATCCTGACATCACAGCTCACTTTTGATCTAAACCGCAAACCATCTAAACCACGGATAGAAGGTTTGTACCCCAACTACCGCAGTTTATCGGTGCCTACCTGTACTACTACTGTGGATACTACCATTTATTTTATTTCACAGTCATATCACAACCACCTGGAATATGGATTTCTATTTTTTAAAGAATTTAATGAAATACTTATATTAAATTTAAACTATTCTTAATGTCTTTTCTCTCTCTGAGCAACTGATAATAAATCCTTTATCAATTCAAGCTGAATTGTTTTTATAAATAAAAACAAGATGATCAGTGAATTTAAAAAGGAAACAATGCAAAAGTCATAAGAGAGAAGATCAAGTCAGACAATGAAGCAGGCTTTATGCAATGGTTAGTTTGTAACATGCTAACTAAAAGGCATACAAATATTAAACTAAGCTGAAAGCTAAGAAAATAAAGCCATAATAGTTCAAACTGCAAGCCAATTCTAAATCCAGAGACATCTGTCCAGATACATTATAATCCTTTTTTTTTTTTTAGGCTCATTTTTGCTTACATTTTAAACAGAAAACACAGATAAAAAGATATATCAGACTTACTTCACCCAGACGATTTTTGAGCTGTTGTAAACTGGCTTTGCGTAAATGAGAAATTTGTTTTTCCAATTTTTGTACTTCATTTTCTAGAGATGATTTTCTTTTCTGGAAGCAAATGTAGTAAAAACAGCTTTGAAATAAACCTACATTTAGTAAAAATTTAGTTCAAGATTTCAAATAATATATAAAATAAAGCTATTATAGAATATAAATAATACATTTCAAACAGTAAAATCTTTATAAAGCTTTACAATTAACAAATTAAATACTTAAATTAGATGAAATCATATTTCCATTCAACAATACAAATGTTTGTTTTAAAATAGATCAACTGAGTTTGAAATTTTTTTTTTTTTTTACAGTTAAAAATTTTTGAGGCAATTTAAATTGCTTAAAATTAGATCTCTTTCCTATATATATTAGATTTCTAGTGTAAAATAAGCTGTTGGATGGAAATTTGTGAAAGAAATTTACAAAATTATGTGTTATATTTCAGCCATCACTGACTATTTTCACAGATAGAAAGTAGAAGTCAAAAGACAGCCAGTAAGTATGAAGTTTATGCTGTCTAGGGTTTGAAAAGGAACATGGGTTCACATACTATGGTAGTGGAATAGAATATAACATTATGGCTAAAATTACCTTACCATTCAAAAGCATTTTAACAGGTGTGCATCAAGATTGATGATAATCTGCTATTGTAAATATACAGCGTGACCATCACCCAAGCTTACCACTGACCAACCAATGATTACACCATATTGCATTCCAATTCTCACTCTCATTGGTGTGCACCAAAACTGAGAAAGGGTGCACACTCACAAGTTAACACAATGAAAGACAAATGTCATATTGAGAAATAAGAACGGAAAACACTATTTCCCATATTATATGTAGATGTTTTATCCAGGACTTTACCTGCTCATCTGGGTGGGTAGGTAGGTGATACTTGGGACAACTTCTGCTATGTCAGCTGTTCCCTGACCAACTCCTCGCATATCTACTCATCCCAGTGCAGTGGCTTGGCAATATGAAATGAGGCTTCAGAACTGTGTGACATACACATCGGTCACCTGCCAAGGGTGAACCAGAACTTTCTCCTGACCCCAAGTATGACTTAATATAGACCAACACCCAGATATATCACATTTCCAATTTTGGTGCCACTTGATCTTCAAAAAACCCCAACCCAGTCAAACTTCAAAAGCAAACATCTGCCAGTCCATCAAACAAAATATTGAGGTTGAGATAAAATCACCTCTTCCCTTTCTATGTGGGTGGCCATAGTATCACAGATATGAATAGCCTCTAAAAGATTTATTTCATTATTTTTTAAAATTCTATTGACTGTTGAATTGTCAACCAAAATCTGATGGTAATTAGAAGAGACATTGTGGTCTTAAATGTTTATATATGATACTTTGAGTTATGACATGTCAGTGTTCTGGAGAAAAATATAGTATGATCAATATATTAATTTTTTTATTTCTTTACTGACAGACACAGTATCCTAAGGGCCAAGCAAATTGGTAAACATTAGTTTTTTGCAAAGTTTTCATTTTGTGGAGAAGCATTTTGTAACCATGAGAATATACAAGATTCAAACCATATATAATCTGGAATTAGAATAGTGTTCCAGTCATCCCAGAGTTTGAAAACTCTTATCTAATTAGAGGCAGGTGAAAATTCAATTTGTGAAAGAATGGAAAACTACTAGAGCTAAAACTTTGGTTATACCCAGTAGCTTAAAGAAAGTTTTTTTTTGACACAATAAATCAATATTACCTTCAATGGTCAAAATATGGGACCATCAGCTTTTACAGACTATAAAATTTCTCTTTTTACACTCACCTGTTCAACTTCTATTTGTTGTTCAATAGAGGTTTTATATTGGGGCGTTTTCATATAATTTAAAAATTCAGTGTAGCGCTGCTTGATAGTGTCTGTTGACAAAAAAAAAAAAAAAAAAAAAAAAGAGAATAAGGATTTTTAATGTTATGGCAGAAACCGAGTCATAAATGTCAGAACTTAATTTTTTTTTTTTAGATCCTCCCAACCTGCTAGGATTAATATTAAACTGCAGATTGCACATTACACACACAACTGCTGAATAAAGAATTTTAATAAGGATAAAAACACTTACAGAAAACTAAAATTTCAGCTGTTTATATATAATATCAATAACTATAAATCTAGTGGATGATTTACATTAAATTTGTAAAAGTATATTGATAAAGCAACTAAAAGACAGGTTAGCTTAAGTGTGGCACTTTATGGGCAGTTTGAGCCAGGTTTTATTTTTCTATTTCAGTTAAACTTTCTAAATCACAAGTAAGCTATCAACATACAACTACAAAAAGTTTTTCAAGTTATTACAATTTTAAATCAAAGAAGTAAATGTTAATTCAATCAACATGAAAATTTTAAAGGAATTATCTCTTAGGCATATTATTTTCATTTTCAAGATTAAGAGACATAGCATTTTATAAAATGCAGAATAAGAATAGAACTCACCAAAGAATCGTTGCACTACAGGAGGTACTTCAAGGGCAGCAATTGTATGAGGTTGAGAGCCAGATTTAAAATAGGCATCAGAAAAGGAAGTCATTGAACGGTCATTACAACTTACACTGTTCTCACTGGAAGCTGAGAAGTAAAAAGTTATTAATCCAAACCATTAATATATAAATGCATCATAAAAATATACAGTGAGAAAAGCAGTTGTATAGTTTAGAAGAAAGAATGGAATAGTGGAGAGAAAAATTTAGGTTGCAAGTTGCAATGGTTGTAGTAATAATTATTACTATTATCATTATTAGCAGCAGTTGTTCAAATTTTTGAGGAGGTATAAGTTTTTGAGGTTCCTGCTTTTAAATTTGAAATAAATTTCTTTAACACAACATAAAATCTTTAAATGTTTAATTAGAATTAATAACTCATAACAAAAATTTGCACTATAAAGAAGAGTTAAACTGAATTGAGTCAAGTGATAAACAATTACAAGTGAAGAGGATAATATTAACCATCACATAGATAGGAAACTATAGGAAAAACTTTTTACTAAATAAATCTCTCAGATGATATCAGTATCAAAATTGTGCTTATTTATGACAAAAATAAAAAAGCAGGACATCAGAATGGTTTTACAATATCAAATCTTACATGTTGTGGATATACAAAGTAAAAAATGCAGGTTTTATTTTTATTGATTTTTGTAAATTAGTTTGATGTTTCTTTCAATTTTATAATTTTGAAGTAAATGACAAATTATGATAAAAACCCTTTCATTGTTTACATGATAATCATAATCAAATTATAAAATTATGGTAAAATTAATAATGACAAATATCAATTAGACATTTTAATTTACAGGTACATTTCAGATTTTTATGCTTTTCACATGTCAAAACCTGGATATTTGCTGTTTGCATAGAAAACGTGTTAAGCTTAAAAAACATCTATTATTAATATATCATGAAAAAGTCAGAGCAAGAAATTATTTGAAATGAGCATAAGCTTACCAGCTGATGAAGTTGATAACACAGTTTGTTTATGTAACAGGTTAAGTCCGTCAATTGCAAGAGCCTTATTTTTATTTCTGGCTTTTGGTCCCCGGCCCTTACAAGCAGCACCTCGACGCCGACCTAAAACAAATTAATTTTTTCCTTAAAAGCTGTTTTAACATTTTTTCAGGTTGTACCAAAGTAGGCATCCCAAACTAAAATTTTATTTAATATATACCTTTAATATAGGTATAGAGAACTTGACAAAACATAAAAAAGGGTACTAAATTTATTTTGGTAACTCAATTAGCAATGATATTTAGCCTGTTCAAAGCTTGTCAGTTTATTTTTTTGTCTTGTGTGCAATTGGACGAGAAGCCAAATTCAACAGTGTATAACTGAAGATGCCAGCTTCAGACTAGTTAAAAATCATTAGAAATGTAATGTCATATAGGCAGTTTTGAAGTAAAAGAAATATAATACTAATGAAATCAATAATTATTAGATCAGACTAAACTAAACATTGGGAGAAATTGCATTCTCAAAAACGAAGAGACACAGAAAGGTACATTTAACTGTTCATATAAGTTTCATTTAGCATAACAAAGATGAAACTATTTTTTTCAGTAGTACATAGAAAAAACACAAAACAAAAAAAACTCCTATTTATACTATGTAAAAACAACCAAAAGCACAATTTGATAGTAGGGCAAAAACAGGTCAAAAGTATACCATCCTGAACTTACCATAAAAAAATTATCCATTTGCAGTACTTGCCTGAAACTTAAACTACTAATTTTGAGATGAGGAATTCAATAAAAAAATTCTTTTCTCTAATATACCTTTTCTCATACATGCATCTAATTTTGGAAAGTATCGTGAAATTATGCAATATTTAACTCATCAGAAAGGGACAGTAATGATTACAAAACTCAGAAATTTGTTTCATGGTCAATCCTTCTAACAAATGCTTATTCTAAAGCTTTAAACCCATTTATCTAAAACTAAATAACTAAAAACATGAAAATATATTTGATGAAAAAAAACTTTCTGGACAGTTGGAATGGTCTTCCTGCATTTCCTCTTCTAATGGTGATTTGCAGTTTGAATTTGTTTATAAGCCTCTGCTATAGCAAATATTCCTGAAATACTCTAACATCCTATTACTTCTTGAAAGTGGTATATATCAAAGACTCATCAAAAGGCAAATGTTGATGCTGCTTGTGTAATATCATCCAATACAGGCCATCAAAAATAATCATTTCTACCTTTGATTGAAACTAAACTTTTGATTATGGCACTCGACGAAGATATAATATCACTTGGTCAATGTAAAAGTTGGAGTAATAGTATACTGCAACCCAAGGCACAATGACCAGGTTTGCCATTTTTTTTACCATAGTGTGGAATTACTATGCAAATGCAGCCCCCACTGCCTGATCTTTGCAACTTAAAATATTTCTTGATTTCTGTTAGTGACAATCCAAATTTAGTCAGATATACCAAAGTTGTCAAGTTAGTAATAACATCTTAGCATTAGATTTTGATACAAAATGTTATCCAGTCAGGACACATTGCTTTCACAAATCTTTATACTTTTCCAGTTTAAAAACATGTCCAATGAATATTTTCTTCAAAAGAAATTTAATTCACTGGTGTGAATGTTTGCTTTTTTTTAAGACAAGATCAGGATCCTAGCTAGTTAATATTAAGGAAAGACAATGTACTAATCTATTGCAACACTAGTCTCTGTAATGATAATTTGTACTTTGTAAAATAACCCCCATAATGTTTTCTTTTATAGTTTATTTTTTTACAAGGGTTGATGAAATTTTATTGGTAGCTTCATATCTTTTTTGAAACATAGAAAAGGATCTCAGATTGGATAGTGAAAAACTGATTGATCATGGACCTAAATATTCAGTATGAAAATTTCTTTATGAAAAAAATGAATCAGATGCACAAGCACCTAAAGCATTTAGCTAATATCGTTAATCTAACATGAGTACAATTGAAACAATAAAAATGAATTATAGAGGTAAGCATTTTGTGGTATTAGGGTTGTATTTGGCATGCATGCATATATATGCATATGCATATATATATATATATATATATATATATATATATATATATATATATATATTTATATATATATTTTCAGGCAAGTCTTTTTTTTTTTTTAATTTTTAAAATTCATATTATCCAAGTGTTATTGATAAAATTTACATTTATGTGATAAACCATATTTATGAGCAATCTTACATTTTGTTCCAAAATTTCTTTAAAGCTAAGTAGAAAAATATTGAAATAATCAGACCATTTTTAAATAATTTTCCCTAAATATCACTTGAAGGAAAACAAAATGCACGATTCATTAGACTGGAAAAGAATCATGAGAACCCTTATCACTGACATCTTTTGTTTTCACCAAGATTTGACATTAAATTCTCTATTAATATATATATATATATATATACACACACACACACACACAAGCCCTGATATTGAGCTCTTTAACTCATATATGTGTGCTTAGGTTTTGAATCTAGAAGTAGATATTTGAACTTTGGAGCCAGAAATAATTACTACTTGCAAAATTTAGATAATTCTTATCAGGTTCTTTTTAATTTTTGAGGTTATCATACACAAATTTCCCCAAGTAAAACTGCTGATGTATTTGTGTGCAGTGTGTGCCCATATGCATATACAACAAAACCATATTACTACACACATGTACACTTTCACATCTAGAAGCTGAAATATTTAAAGAGAAGGAAAAAAAAGAGAAGGAAAAAAAAGAGAAGGAAAAAAAAAAGAAGGAAAAAGAGAAGGAAAAAAGAGAAAAAAAAGAGAAAAAAAAAAAAAAGAGAAGGAAAAAAAGAGAAGGAAAAAAAGAGAAGGAAAAAAAGAAGGAAAAAAGAGAAGGAAAAAAAGAGAAGGAAAAAAAGAAGGAAAAAAGAGAAGGAAAAAAAGAGAAGGAAAAAAAAGAGAAGGAAAAAAAAAGAAGGAAAAAAGAGAAGGAAAAAAAGAAGGAAAAAAAGAGAAGGAAAAAAGAGAAGGAAAAAAAAAGGAAAAAAAAGAGAAGGGAAAAAAAGAGAAGGGAAAAAAAAGAAGGAAAAAAAAGAGAAGAAAAAAAAGAGAAGGAAAAAAGAGAAGGAAAAAAGAAGGAAAAAAGAGAAGGAAAAAAAAGGAAAAAAGAGAAGGAAAAAAAGAGAAGGAAAAAAAAAGGAAAAAAAAGAGAAAGAAAAAAAAGAAAAAAAAGAGAAGGAAAAAAAGAGAAGGAAAAAAAGAAGAAAAAAAAAAGGAAAAAAAAGAGAAAAAAAGAAGGAAAAAAGAGAAGGAAAAAAAAGAAGGAAAAAAAAAGAAAAAAAGAGAAAAAAAAGAAGGAAAAAAGAAGGAAAAAAAAGAGAAGGAAAAAAAGAAGGAAAAAAAAGGAAAGGAAAAAAAAAAGAAGAAAAAAAGAAGGAAAAAAAAAAAAGAGAAAAAAAAGAGACCAAGAACGAGAGGCAGACTTTTTTTACCGTATTCTCCATTGGTCCGTGGTGGCGGCTCCTCTTCTTTTGTGATCCGTTCATTTGCAGCAGTTTTGCTCTTGCGCCGATTTCGTTTCACAATCCGAGGGTGATGTGTAGTTTTCTTGGGTTCAGTTTGGTATCGCATCTGAAACATACAAGAACAACAAATTCTGCTAAAGAAATTTAGATAAAAAGGGGATGAGTGAATAAACAAAGACCATTTCCAAGAAATTTTGAAAGCAGAATTTTTTTTTTTTTTTTTAACATATGAATTATGAAGCTATTTGAAAATCAGCAAAGAATTAATGGAATAAAAAGAAAAACAAAGGAAAATTTGTAAAGAAAAAAAATAAGTAACTGATGATAGATTTTTACATTATTTTATCTTCAAATTTAAAGCCAAGCAGTCATTTACTGTAAAAATCAATTTTATTTAACTAGACACCTATTCTAATGGGGGATAAACTGAAACTTAAAAATAAAACATTAACCTTAAAAATAAAATAGAAATGAAAAAAATGAAAAAAATAAAAATAAAAAAATAATTAAAAAATGTAATTAGCTTACCAAAAAATTAAAAAATTGTAAAAATAAAAATTTTAGTGATGGAAATCTGGGTTTGATAACTGAGATCAATATTTAAATGTCATCATAAAGAAAAATTAGAATGCATGTTTCCAAGAATTTTTTTTAACAAGGAAAAAAAAAAAAAAAAAAAAAAAATGCCATAGACATGAGATAAACAAAGTGTGCCAATCCGTAGATGTTATAACAATCACAAATCCTTGTTTAATTTTGTGGCAACTTTTGATAGCATTGTTTTAATTTTCTGCTGTTTAAACATTCTTCCCAAATTTTAAACTATTAAAGCAAAAATGGGTGCTATTATGAATCATTGTCAAGCACTTTCTCTTTTTTGAGATAATGCTAGAAAAAGAGCCCCTAGGAAATAATGGAAGTGGGGATAATGCTAACATCTAAATAAGATTCAGTAGTCCATTATTCCAATGTCTGCTCAAGAAATTTTTAAAAATATTCATTTAATTTTGAACCAGAGAATGCATCTTTACCTATTTAAAAAGTGGTAGATAAAATGGATAAATGCCTTCCTTATGACTCAGACAATATATAAGTGTGATTTTTACAATATGATAACATTTTAATATTGATCCTATCTTTGCATTGAGATTAGAGTTAGAATTTGAATAGTGGAACTTAGGGTTTTAGATTAATAATAATTCTGTCAGAAATGAATTATTGATAATAGCAATAAATAACTTTCCTTATAATCATGATAGAAGTAATATCAAAATCATTACTTTCTCATAACCCCCCCACCACCACCACGCAAGAAACAAAATTTCCATGAAATTGTAGCTTAACCTTAATACTTACCAAGATATGTCAACTAAAATAATTTGTAAATTAGAAATCTTGATATCTTTTTGATAAAAATCTGAAAATGAAGATGTGCCCAAAGAAATATTGATTTTTGCATGTGGTTGAATTAGCAGTTTCTGACTCAAAGAGCCAATATTTCCTGATTCAAAAATGGTGACAGATACAGTGAAAGGAATTCCTTTCATCCCATTATTACACAAATTTAAGGAGAAATTTTAAGTAGAAAAAGTCTACTTTGTAGCTGAGATAGCTGGAAACTTGTTCCTAATGTTATATGAATCCAAGATGCCAAATAATGTTTTTCACAAAACATAGACCAATGCCAAACAGGTTAGTCTTACAAATAGCAAGTTCAATCTTTACCAAGTGCTATACTATTTGGTGCAAGATTTAACAAATAGGTACATTATGGTTACACAAGAATTTGGAGTGAGTTATAACATTCACTAAACAAATATTGGTTGAATCAATTAAGAATGAGAATTTAAGACTTTGAATAAGTTTCTCACTATGATCATTTTCATGATTGTCAGTCGAAATGTTGTAAGGTCTAGAAGATGAATATTGTATAAACAGACTTGTGTCAGGTTATTAATTAAGTTTATTTCTTTTAACAAATGTGAATATCTACATTTCCCATCAATCCTTTGCATCTCAGTGTTGTGATGAACTTATCGTCTGCTAAACCGAATTACTATAAATGAAAAGTACCTCTTTTTAAAAATGTAAGCTATATGGGTAGCACTGCAAGCTTAATTACAAGTTTGTAGATGTCATACCTTTCATATATTGTGAACTTTGTTATCAGTACATTTGTAAAATGCACAATACCCACATTACATTTTTACACAGTGTAAAAATGTTAGTATATTTCTGCATAGAAAAGTAAATACTAATCCAATGTTACCAATAATATTTTTCTCCCATTAGTATACTCTACTAATTTTGCTTTTTATCATTAACTTTTAATAAACATTGGCACAAACACAGCTCCAAAAAGCATTTGTTAAAATTCCTCAAAGTTGCTTCCCATATCATATGACATAAGAGACAATGGATTTTTAACTCCATTTCAAAGGAGACAATCATTGTTTGGGTAATTTTTTTTTTTAAATGGAGACCAACTTATTAGCACTACATCTTTAAAGGGATCAACTGTTTACTCCTAGTTGGAGGTGGAGTGGATTCATATGTTTTCAAATTCCTTAAATACACTAATTTCTGTATCCATTCTTGTCTTTATAAGGACAAGTATTTCAAGATAGTACTGAATACATACACTTGATCTTATGGTATACACCATTAAGAGGTTTTCTTTAAGAATAATTAATATGTGAATTACAAAAACACCTTTTTGTCACCTTTTATTGATGAGCCAACAAGACAGACATCTGCATTAGTGCCTGAGAGTCGGTGTGCATTTCAGTGACAATGTGAACATTCATGCAGTATTTACAGATGGAGAAGAGATCTATGCTACTGAAATGGGAGTCAGACAGACCATTCGATTATAAGCATCCTTTCTTTAAGTTAATGGCTAAATACATTTTGCCAACATTGAACAGAATTGATAAATTGTAAATGCATAGGGTATCTATAGCTTGTATTAAATTAAAATGCGAGTGAATTTGACATGCACAAGATTTTTCTCTGTAGGACAAAGAACAAGCAGATGACAAAATTACTTCTGAAACATTCCACAATGGACCATTTAAAATCAAAGTCAACATACAAACAAAAGCTTGTTCAATAAACATTTACAGAGATCAGTTTATCGGATATTAGATTATGGCCAGAGCAATTTTGGTAACATTATTTCCTGATATAATAAAAAAAATGTTCCTAGTTAAGGTTAAATGCTGTTTGGGATGATTTTTTTTTTTTTTTAAATACCAGAATATCATCAGAAAACAAACATCTTTTCTACTTATTAATCATTTATCAATTGAACTTTAAAAAAAAAAAAAAAAAAAAAAAAAAAAAAAAAAAAAAAAGAAATTTTTTTTTTTCAAGAATAGAAAATCTACAAACAGTAACTTAAGATTAGTGTTGCTTAAGATCCTATACAACTAGTGCTGACCAAAAACTGTCAGATTTTGGAAATTGGGTCCAGCCAAGAATTTTTCAGTGCCTCCTCATACAACTTTACTGCTATCCGAGCCATTCATAGAGTATATACTCAAGTATAGTTTTCATGATCAGTTTTTTTTTGTTTTGTTTTTTTTAACACAAAGGGGGTTCACACTATACACAGGTTATTTTTTGGAAGAGGTTAAAAACCATGCATTTTTGGTGACTGTCACCTACCTCTGGTAGACCTACATTCTCACGGTATCTTTGGCTAACCATAACAGTACAAGTAAGCACCTTTAGCCTGCCTCCCATAGATTCTTTATTTCTGTTGCTACATAAGCAGCAAGACACCATTTACTATGTGTGCTGCTTAGAATCTACAAATGCCTCATATAAATGAAGAAATAACAATTTTTTTTTCTCCAATTTGTGTTCATCTTTGTTCACATCACTGAGGTATTGCTGTTCCAAAGACACCCCTTTCGCCAGATACATATCTATATCATGTTTCAGTTGTGTTCCTTATTTGGTTTTTATTTATTTATATTTATTATATTCTTTACATTTACTGGTACTGATATTATTTTATCAGTCTCTGTTACATATTCTTAAACTATTTTGATAAAATGCTCTGTAATATATGGTAAATGATGATTGCACAGGGTGAAATACCAAATGAATTTTAATTTTAGTAGCTTTATTTATATTATACAGTAATATCAATAGGAATCAACCAAATTGAGGGGCATTGTAAAAGCATATCACTATTCATATATAAATTATACATAAAGTATTATGGTACAGCTACAGGAAGAAATTATTTACAATAATTTTTTTTTTTTTTACAGAACATTATACAGGAATAAATAATTTATGATACAACAAAGAACCTCATTTTCTAGTAAAATAAAGCAGAAAACAATAGGTTTATAGAATACTTTTTACTTAGAATGAGTCAGTATTTACCTCAATTCATGGGACACCCTCCATTATGTACAGGTAATGCTAGCAAAAAGGTTGTCATTGAAAAGGTAATACTTCAACAATGTAAACACTTGTGAGACAAAGATAAATGCAAATTTGAGATAAGAAAAAATTTATTAATTCTTCATTTATATAAGGTATTTGTTGATTTTAAATGGCATACATAGTGATTGAGGTTTTGCTCTTCATGTCGCAACAAAATGGAAGAAACATAGGCTAAGTAGGAGGCAGGCCCAGAGCTACTGTTGTCAGACATGAATGAAAACAAAAAGTATGTTATGTAAATCTTTGTATCATATTTTATAGTAAGTGGATTTTCTCACCATTTTTGGGTAGCTTTGTACAAAAAAGAATTAAGATCATTTACTCGTCGTAAAATATGTCCCAGATGATGCCCAGTACAACAATATTTGACTATGGTAAGACTACTAGTATTGCTCAGAAACTGGGGTTGCATTATATATGAGCTATATATGAAAAAAAAAAAAAAAAAAAATCAGGGTTTTCACACGAAAAAAAAGAAAAGAAAAAGAACAAACAACTCAAGGATTGCACTATGCATGAAGTAGGCTTATACATGAGTATATAATGGTAACTAAATTTCATTGCAGACTACGAGTTGTTTTTTTTATTCTTCCCTACATATCTAATTAAATGCTATGTTCTACTGTTAATAATTTTTTCCTA